TGGTAATGTATTTAGATTTTCTTCTACTGAAGAATTGATGTCTTCATTCAGTGCTTTATTGAGTTGATATTTAGATGACTGTGGAGAAAAAAAGCCACACATTTTTTTCTGAATTTTTTTCTTTTTCTTTTTTGGTAATTTTTTTTCTTTGTTGCCATAATTTTGATTAATGTTTCAATGAGCCAAAAGGAAAAAAAATAAATAAAAAAAATAAAACTTATATAAAGTGACAAAAAATAGTATTTCTTAGGTATTTTGGCTTTCTGTTCTCTCTTGAATGGTGTCTTCAGAGCACGCAGGAAGTATATGAGATTTTAATTTTATTAAAGACACGGAGGCTCATATTATGCATAACTCTTTCTTTATTTCCTCAGCAGCAAAGATAGAGGAATATAAATATTGTCAAAATGAAAGAAAAACTGTATAGATACACAGGCAACCAATCACATAACAGAGGAAGTGACTATATAAGGCCTGTGTCTCCCACAATCCCCCTCTTTCTTTGCTGCTTCCTCAGACAGCTAAGTACCTTGCTTTTATGCTCCTTACTCATTGTGTATTGTTTGATCTTTTATTGCTATTTGTTGTGTAATTTGGGATTTGTTTTGTTTTGTTATTATTGCTGCCTGTTCTGTGCAGCTGCCTTTTCTGTTTCTCCCTTCTTCCCCTTGTGCTGGTGTATTCACCTTTCATTCCCCCCCCCCGCGCGCCCGCCCTGCTTGCCAGCGGGTGCCGCGCGGGACCTGGATCCAGCTTTCAGCCGCGGCTATTTTGAACACCTGCCGCGGTTGTCAGTGTCTCTCGGCTCGCTCGCGGGCTGCCCGCGCGGGTAGGTGCATGCGCCCCTTCCCCCGCCGGGTTGCAATCCGCGAGCGCACTCTGGGGCGGTCCTTCTCCGTCTCGGTCGTTCCCTCTGCTGCCGTGCGCTCTGCTCTGCCTCTGGGTCCCTGGGGTGCACCAGTACAAAGGTTTTTTTGTCCCCTATTCTCCTTTTTCTGTGGGTTAATCAACCCTTCTGCTCTGTCACTTTGTCCTTATAGCTTATAGCTTATCATACTGGGTTTTTTCCTTGTACATTGGTTGCCACTATGCAGGATAGGGAGGAAGGGCCTGAGGGCCTCACCACTGATTTTACTCCAGGAATTTCAAGCCCTGCTAGATGCCACTATGGCCTCTTCCTTGCAAAAGGCTTTTGCTTCAGCCATGGGTGCTGTATCCTCCTCCTTTTCTCAATCCCTGCATTCCTTACTATTGCCTTCCATGGCGGCCCCCGCCCTCCTGGGCATGGGAACCTCCTCACCTACCCCGACTGTGCCTGGGGCCCGTAAGGCTAAGGCGAAGTCAAAACATGTCGACTCCCACTCCTCGATGCAGGTTCTACCTGCCATGACTGACACGCTAGAGGCGGTCACTGACAGCGCGCCTCCCACGCGCAAAAGAGCCCCTGGCCGGGCTAAAAAGGCTAGACTATGGAAACGGGCTAAAGCCCTGGATGATGGGTCGGATACCGACCGGAGTGTGGAGAATGAGTCCGACGTTATGGAGTATGACTCCTTTGATGAGGGTGAGTCGGGTGAGTCGGGTGAGGACTTACCACTTACGGGTGTGACCCCTTCTGGGACCTCCGCCACTGCCCATAATCAAATACTAGACCCCACAGGGGATACCAAAGCGCTGTTTGACCCTCAGGGCAACCCTCTATTCGACCGCGACGATCTCCGTCATTCTAGGTCCGCAGAGTGGGTTCCCCCAGACCATATTGCTCAATACGTGGCACGGCGTATGCGTACCCCCCTTTCCTCCTGCGAGGTCCGATGGTTTGCCGGTCATAGAGGGAACATTGAAGACCCTTCTGGCTAACCTCAGACATCACATTTCTGCAGACATTAATCAGTTTAAAGTAGAGATCAGTGGGATGTCAGTGCGCCTTCATGATACTGAGTTCAACGCTGATGCCCATGGTTCGCCTCACTGGCTTGGAACAAGAGCTCACAGAGCTCAAAGAGAGAACAGGCACCAATCCAGCACTGCGTGTCGACAATGGAAGACCATAGGCTTTGGAAAATTGTAAAGATCTGGGGCCTAGCTGATACAATCTCTGTTGCAAAAATGCTGTAACTCATTAAGAGACTGCTTGCTTACCTTTTCTTCGCTAAACAGTTCAACAAACCATAGTGCTGGAGGGCTTCTACAGACTACCAGCGCCTCACACAGGCACTCCGGGAACCAGCAGAGATAACATCTTCTGGTTCCAGAATGGACCAGATAGGCAGGCCTTCATGTCTGCTGTCTTCAACAAATCCCTTTACAGCTTTGGGGAACATTCTCTACAATTTTTCCCAGATCTGTCCAGAGCTACAATGGACTGGCGGAGGTCTTTGTAACCCTTAGCCTCAGAACTCTTCTAGCACAAGTTACCCTACAAATGGGGCTCCCCAAGATGTCTATTAATACTCAGAGACACCGGGACTTTGAAGGTTCACGAAGCCTCTGATAACCAGAACCCTTCAGAAATTGGGGCTATCAGATACCGCTGAGGATCTAAAGCACCCACATCAGCAGACAGCCTGGGATCTGGCCAGAGTTTGCCTATTTGTACTGACTGCACAGAGGGTAACTCCTGCATCTGTGGTGATCTCCTGGATGCTTCATATGTCTACATCAAGCACTGTTTTATTGAGCTTTCTTTTTCTTTTTTAGTATTGTGTTTCGGTGTATTTTTTTTTTTTTGTATTCGTGTGTTCCCACTACAATATTCACTTTACATTGAGTGCCTTAGGAACATGTCCCAATCCATTATTCTCTGCTGGCATTTGGAGGTTATTTCCCCCCAAAATGTCCACTCCACACTTTTATTTGCTTTACATACTTTTTGACATGGCTAGCTTCAGTGGGTGGCAGCCTCTTGTTTTGTTACCAAGGAGTACATACCACCAATACCCACATTTTCATAAGAGGCACATAACCTACACTGCCCCATAGTTGCTTACTCTCAAGCCCCAGCCATAACTTTTAGAGGTGGTAGACTGTCTGTTTGTTTTGATTTTCTTTATTATTGTTCACCTTTAATATTAAATCCCTTGATCTCATAATCCGAGCTTTGTTAACCATGGCTCAACAGGATTGTACTGTCTTGCTATACATGTTGTTTTTGTTCATCTTTGTGTGTGATACCGGTACTATCATACGGTTCAAGAATAAAGAAAAATTTACATATTTTTTAATCTTTATTTAGCCCCTTTTTCAGTTTGATACTGCATTAAAGAAATATTATTGTAATTATTAAAAGGTATTGCATATTTGAGTTGTAGTCAAATACCTCCCCTGATAAGTTCATACTTGTAGAAGAGGATAAAGGTCTTGCTGACTGCCTCAATGAATATTTTTGTTCAGTATTTACAGATGAAAATGAGGGAAATGGACCTCAGTTAGGAAAAAGGACAAATGAGTCATTTGTTACATGTGAGTTTACAGAGGAAGAGGTTCTATTTCAACTGTCAAAAATAAAGACAAATAAGTCAATGGGGCCTGATGGAATACATCCAAAGTTATTAAAAGAGCTTAGTGGTGTACTAGCAAAACCATTAACAGATTTATTTAACCAGTCATTGTTAACAAGAGTAGTCCCAGAAGACTGAAAGTTAGTGAATGCTGTGCCCATTCACAAGAAAGGTAGTAAGGAAGAGTTGGGAAACTGTAGGCCAGTAAGCTTTACTTCAGTAATGGGGAAAGTAATGGAAACCATGTTAAAGGATAGGATTGTTGAACATTTAAATCACATGAATTTCAAGATCAGAGACAACATGGGTTTACTTTAAGGGAGATTATACCAAACTAATCTTATTGATTTTTTTTTGATTGGGTAACTAAAATAATAGATCAGGGTGATGCAGTAGACATTGCTCGTCTAGATTTCAGTAGGGCTTTTGACACTGTTGCATATAGAAGGCTTATCAATAAACTGCAATCTTTAAGTTTGGATTCCAATATTGTTGAATGGGTAAGGCAGTGGCTGAGTTGCAGGCAACAGAGGGTTGTAGTCAATGGAGTATATTTGAAGCAGGGTCTTGTCACCAGTGGGGTACCTCAGGGATCTGTACCCATTCTATTTGATATTTATATTAGTGATATTGCAGAAGGTCTTGATGGTGTGGTATGTCTTTTTGCTGATGATACTAAAATGTGTAACAGGGTTGATGTTCCAGGAGGGATAAGCCAAATAGCAAATGATTTAGGTAAACTAGAAAAATGGTCAGAGTTATGGCATCTGACATTTAATGTGGATAAATGCAAGATAATGCATCTTGGATGTAAAAATCCAAAGGCAGAGTACATATTATTTAATAGAGTCCTAACCTCAACATCTGAGGAAAGGGATTCAGGGGTAATTATTTCTGATGACTTAAAGGTAGACAGACAATGTAATAGAGCCGCAGGAAATGCTAGCAGAATGCTCGGTTGTATAGAGAGAGGTATTAGCATTAGAAAGACAGAAGTGCTCATGCAATTGTACAGAACACTGGTGAGACCTCACTTGGAGTTTGTACGCAGTACTTTAGAGAGAGTTCAGAGAAGGGCTTCTAAACTGGTTCATGGATTGCAGGATAAAACTTACAAGGAAAGGTTAAAGGATCTTAACATGTATAGCTTAGAGGAAAGCCGAGACAGGGGGGATATGATAGAAACATTTAAATACATGAAGGGAATCAATACAGTAAAGGAGGAGACTATATTTAAAAGAAGACAAACTACCAAAACAAGAGGACATAGTCTTAAATTAGAGGGGCAAAGGTTTAAAAATAATATCAGGAAGTATTACTTTACTGAAAGGGTACTGGATGCATGGAATAGCCTTCCAGCTAAAGTGGTAGAGATTAACACAGTGAAGGAGTTTAAGCATGCGTGGGATAGGCATAAGGTTATCCTAGCTATAAGATAAGGCCAGGGACCAATGGAAGTATTTAAAAAATTGGGCAGACTAGATGGGCCGAATGGTTCTTATTTGCCGTCACATTCTATGTTTCTATGTTGTCTTGCTTCAAGAGAAACACAAAAATACATGGCTTTGAAATGGAAATATTTTATTTTTACATAGTGAGTACATAATGAACACTGATAACTATTAGAGCAGCAAAAATTTCCATGACTTGTCCTGCTGCGAAACATCATACTTCAAGAATTAAGTAGATAATGAATGATTATGAGAATCTAGGAAAAATAAGTTATAAACAATAAATTACATCATACATTTTCCATCTATATGATAAGACATTTACTTTATTTTATTAAAACAGAACTATATGATGCTCAAAACAGGGTTGAATTCTCAGGTACCAACAGGCAAAGGATACCAAGCCCCCAATTAAACGATCACTATAAAAATCGGTTATTTTGTCAAAACTAAATAAAAAAAATGCTGCTTCATTGCCTGTCATTATTTCTATTTTAATGTATCTGTTTCGCATGTAAATAAATATGTGCATATATATGTATTTCTGCACATAAATAGATCTGGGTGAATTGCCATGAAATCAAAGTGAATGAAGTTGAATTTCATATTAAACTCAAAATAGCCAAACTGAAAACATAACTGACTTGGAGAATATTTTCTCGATTCAGCTATTTTGGTCTGAATGTTGAGTCAAATAGTAAATAGCCTTCAAAGTGTACTTCTGTTTGTAGAGTGTGAATGGTTTGTGAAATATGTGAGTGCTGTATTGTCCATTCCTGAACATGTTGTTTGTAGACAACAGACCTCTACCAACCCTTTTAGGAAACCACATTTCTACTACCAACACACACCTTTTGTACAGACAATCTCTGACTGCTCACAAGACAAATATCACTACTCTATGTTACTAGTGAAAGCTGTGGAACTCATAGAAGCACCTAACAATTAAACACTTGCTAAAAGCCATGTGGAACTGCCTATATAAGCAATGCTAGACATCTAATTCCTTTCTCTCCCAAAAAAATCACAGTTACTGGTCTTGTTAGAAGGAATCTGCAGGAATAGTAAAAAAATACTTAAAATTAAATAAATCTTCACATTTTTGTTCCAGGATATGTGCCCTTAACAAGCTGGTACATGTTACGTGCTGATTCTGCCTTCTGGACATAACATGGTCTTGCAGCAATGGTTTGCTTTACTTACCTCAGTCTGCACATATTTGTTGACATGAGTAGTTCCAATACTTCTTCACATAATGTAGTCTTTGCTTCATTGTATGAGCTGCTTGTTAACAAACACAACAATTAAATGGCATAAGCATGTATATTTGAAAATTAGTTTTGTGTGTGTGTGTGTGTGTGTGTGCACACAATTTAATTATTTGGTGTGCCATTTTTATTTTGTGTCTATCTGGGTTAAACTGTGTCACATGTCGGTGTATGCTAATAGAAAGAAAACACTAGGCATAGCAATAGTGTCTGAACACTGAACAAGTTAAAGGAATACTATAGGCACCCAGACTACTTCATCTCAATGATGTAGTCTTGGTGTCATGTGAGCACCGTTTAAACTCTGCACTTGAAAACAATTGCCATTCTGCAGGAATGCGCTTTTGTATGAAGGCACTTTCCCCAGAAACGCTTTCTTAAAATAGCAGAGCAAAAGTAAATAGTTTCAAAATTCAACATGGCATAAATAACCATATTAATCCATATGTTGAAATTATAATCTTCTTATAGTATGGGTTGAGTATCAAGTATTGTTTTGATGAGTATGTATATATGTTTTTGTATTAAGGCTTATTATTAATTATGAAATAAAATTAATTTTTATTGTAAATAGGAGTGCGGGGCTATTAGTATTCAACTAGAGGAGGTGGTTTTGTATACCCTTTGCACCCTAACTTTGTGTACATGCTGTACATTAACTGGTTACCCCTATGTACTTTATTATTTAGAAATTATAATCTTGCTGTTATAATTCACCTATTATATGTGGTGCCATTTTGGACATCTATTTCAAAGAAGGATATTACGTCACTGAAAAAATGCATATACAGGCTGCAACATTAGGGAACTGGTGATTTTAGTTATGAAGAATGATAGATATGATGATTAATTTACTCTGGGAAAAGGCATCTTGATATATGATACTATTATGTATATATAAACAGATCCAATAGTACAGCTCTCTGGTAACTTGTTCAATAGAAGTCACTAATTTAGGCAAATGCAGAGGCAAGGTTTTTTATGGTAAGAACAATAAGAATGTAGACTTCTCTATTTAAGGAGGTGGTTTTATCACTTTCTGTGAAGATTTTAAAAAACGTTTGTTTTTGAAAAACAGAGTATTAAAGGATAAAATTGTTAATATGCTGGGTATTCTTATTCCGAGGGAAAATCTGATTGCCGTTTTGGAATCAAGAAAGTATTTATCCCCTTCTGTGGCAAAAGTTTAAATCAATTGAAAATGGGTTTATCATGCTTTGTGCATCAACAGAAGAAACCCAGATGTGTGAAAGTATGAGCTTGGTGAACCTGAGACTATTTTTTATTTACATGGTAATTACATAGTTACATGGCTGAAAAGAGACTTGCGTCCATCAAGTTCAGCCTTCCTCACATTTGTTTTTTGCTGTTGATCCAAAAGAAGGCAAAACAAACCCCTGTTTAAAGCACTTCCAATTTTGCAACAAGCTAGGAAAAACATTCCTTCTTGACCCCAGAATGGCAGTCAGATTTATCCTTGGATCAAGCAGTTATTACCCTACATTAAAAAATTATATCCTTGAATATTCTGTTTTTGCAAGTATGCATCTAGTAGCTGTTTGAACATCTGTATGTACTCTGATAAAACCACTTCTTCAGGCAGAGAGTTCCACATTCTGATTGTTCTTACAGTAAAAAAACCTTTCCTTTGCCTTAAACAAAATCTTCTTTCTTCCAGTCTAAACGCATGACCTTGTGTGCTATGTAAAGTCCGGTTTGTGAATAGATTTCCACACAATGGTTTGTATTGGCCCCGAATATATTTATATAATGTTCTCATATCCCCTAATATCATATATACTTGGTAAATATATAATGTGCTTATTCTGTATAGTTTTTTCAGGGTGCAGATTTTTTTTTTTTTACGTATACAATGTAGAGCTATGTGAGGTAATTTAGCTTTTGTAAATATTTGTGAAGAACATGGTTTCACTGAAAATGTATATTGGGTATAATGCATGATGTACATATGTGTTCTGCATGCTGTTCAGTGTGTATGTTTGAGTGTGTCTTGCTCATTGCCTACCTCCCATTCTGTGACCTCACAGATATCTATAGATGTTCCTACAGCATTTCAAGCACTGAATTATAACATCACTGTGAGCATCCTTTGTTTGCATTGCAATTTGTCTATGCCACAATACTTGGGTCTACACTACACAATCTCTGTATTAGACATGTGCACACCTTAAAGGAATAGTTTATAGGACTATAAACCTTTCATGGATAAAATTATGTATGACCATTTTTTATCTAACTTAACGAAAGTTCTCTGGTTGTGGCAAGGAGCCCAGCTATAACCTCTGCTGTCCCTGTAGATCCTGTTGTAAGTGGATTATAATATATGGCCTGTGGACTCTTGCTTTACACTGCTCTCTGTGATTTGGGTAACATCAAAAACACATTTTGTTTTGTATATAACTTAGCTGTTACCTAATCTTTGGTAATGAGACACTCTTGCTGTGTGTGCATATAACCAATATGATATTATGTTATGTTTTTATGTGTGATATGTTGCATTGATATATTCACTAAACTCTTGTTTCACATTGTTGTGTATATGTATGATGTGCTATAGCTGTGTGTATATAGTCCATGCATATGTAAAACTTCACATGGGAGTTTGTGTATTGCAAGTTGTAGTATGTTATAGCTGTTTCACTAGGTTTGCAGGGTTTTACTTTCTAGTGTTGTACATGGTATGATGGTTTAATGTGTATAAGTAATGCTTTTGCACTGATGCAGTGTGTTTAATTGTTTGTTTTGTAAGATAGATGATAGATAGATAGATAAATAGATTGATAGATTGTATGTGTTTGTATTTATTATGACTATTTTTGTGATTTACCTTTCTCCATGTCTGTTCCTTGCCAACCAGTTAAGAAAGTTCTTGCCACCTTCTAACTCTGAGTTAAAGTCTGTGTCCTTCATGTGCAGTTCTGGGTACTGAAAATCAGCCTCTCGTTTGGCAGATTCAGAAATATTGCTGAAATAATATAATGACCAAATTATTTATTTGTGTTTTTCACAATCTATGTGATATTACTGAACCACACACTCTCTGTTCTGAATATCTTAAATAGCATTCAAATATGCCAATGGGATGTCTTGATAATGTGATTTACTGGTATGTACATGTATGCATAGTTGAATACAGCCAATATAACAGATGAACTCATCATTACAGGTTAACGTATTTAAAATAATTATACAGTATATATATATGTCTTACTCGCTTTTCTTCTCTCTTCGGCCCAGTAACCAGTCCACAAAGTTCTTTTTCAGCATGTTATCCACAGATCTGCTATAATCACTGGCTAAAATAGCTTCCGAGTATCGTCTCTGCATGGACTGTGGTCCTTCACTACTCATTGATTCGCTGTAAGATATATTGAGGATGTTCATTTAATCAATGTAATGAAATCCACGTTTTCTTATGTTATAACTCTGCTTGATAAACTTTTTGTAATATAAAGTCAGTTTTTTAATAGTAGAGTCAGACAAAATTCTATTTTATACATTGAGTTGAGTTTTCTCTTTTATGATCTTATAAGTTTGTACATATTTGTGCAGGAAAAAATATTTTTGTTTTGTTCACACATTGTGGCTGAGTAGCAATTACAAACTCCAATGGGAGTTTAAAGGGCTAATTTCTGAGTTCTTATAGTACCTATCTGTTGAAAGTCCCAACTTGCTATACTATACTCTGATCTCTTAGCACATTGTCACTTCCATGAATGGTTAAGTACAGTCAATGTGTTGTTCAATATGTTTGACTCAGGGCACATTTTATGGATTGTCACCTACTTTCATGTTTTCTTTACACCCTTACAATTTCTTGGTAAACAAATACAACTATTCTTAGATCACTTTATTATACCATAGCCACAGATTAATTTATATGAATCACTGAAATCATACCAATGACTCAAATACCTTAATTTAGTGTCTTCTCCATCCACAGTATTAAAGATGATAAATGTGAAAAGGAAAGCTAGATATTTTGGAGCCATCATTGTCTTCCTGAGCTGAAAGAAGTAAATGCAAGTAAACGATATAATGAGTATAATAATGTAATAATTAAAATATAAAAATAAAGAATGGATATGAGTTTGGATTGTAAGTAACTGTGTGACCATCAGTCCTAGCAGAATTGTAATTCTCATGATATTTAGCAAGCCTTAAAGGAACACTGTAGTCACTGTAACTGTTTCATTTCATGGTAGTACCACCATCCTTCCATTCTGATTTAAACCATTTTTAATGTTTTAATGCTAAGCAAAAGTCCCCTCTGTGCTACTTGGTCTAATGTGGAAGCTTTAGCCTGAGCAGTAATGGGCTGCTGTGATTTTAAGAATCAGCATGGCTAGAAAGAGATGTGTAGTTTCTGTCTTGGTCATACCTCCATTAGCAGCTGTTCTCTGGGTGGTCATGGAACCTTAAACTTTAACTTGAAAATGGTTTAACACTGAAAGGGACAGCACCAGAGGGACTCCAGCATTATAACCTATTCAATGAGATGAAATGGTTATCATGCCTACAGTTTCCTATTATGGCTGACCATAGCTGAGGTCAATGCAAAATGGGCAAAGCAAGCTTCCTCCATGCTTAGTTGAATAATCAGAGGCTTAACGTAGAAGAACCTAGAGAGCATTAGACATATTCACAGGCTCTAATCCAAGCCTGAGCCTCTCAATCTGTATGTAGGTTGGATGTTAACTATATAACGATAACATCAGATTTAAAACCTTGTATTTAAGGAACAAAAATGTCACATAGCATTATGTAAATCCAAATAAGAAGATGGGATTGTAGAATTGGGAGGTAATATTAAGGTATAAAACATAGCCACAATAAAAGAACAATTGGTATCCGATACTCATAAGCGATGTAAATGAGAAAGAAGCTAAAATATTTTTAACATTTTTTGAGGATTTAAAACAATTCCAGCAAAGTCTAACTTAATAAATGTTTGCTTCTCAGGTAAAAAGCTAACCAAAATTATTTATTTTATGTGTCTTGACTATTTGGCTAACTCGTACAGTGGGCCAGCATCTCATGGTCCAGTCCAGATTACTAATGCAGTATACATCTTAACAGTAACTAGACATGATTAACAAAAAACAACATACACACTACTTACTGTGAGTGATGTTCAGTAGTTTGGATGTACTTGGGGTGAAATCCAGTCTTAAATACACTTCAAACTATTCCCATTGGCTGAGCATAAACATGCCAGGTGTCTAAAGTCGGATACATATTTCCTGCTTCATTAAACTCATTGAGCTGATCTACTGGAAAATGTAGGACCTGTTATGCAGCAATTAATTCAACTTAAATTAGTTAGTTATATGAGCCTTAAAGATCTTAGATGAGGCTTTTTCCATGTAAAACCTCTTGATAACACCAAAGTGGTACTTCCCAAGATATCACAAGCTTACCAGAACTCTAATCAATAAACACACAATTATTGTGCGCTCCATATGCCAGATTATATTGCAGGCTGTTAGTGAGTTTATACAACACTAATTGTAGATTGTTACTATGGGTCCATCACGTTTTACCCTTCCTCCATCACATAGCTTGAGGACAGAATGTTACCGTGACATTCTACCAGCATGAATGGAGAAATATAATCATCTATGTGATACACCATGTCAAATAATGGTGAACCAAGGTCGACAATGTAAAGCCAGTTCTAGAACCTTAAGTCTAATTAGCCATCTTAATGATTACAGAAGACAATTTACCACTATTTAGTAGACATTTTCTCTATCTCATACAAAAGAGCACCTGTGTGAGCACGTCTTGGGATTTAGATTTTAGATTGCATGCTCTTCCATGTCAGTTAGTCTTTATACTTGAAAAAATAATAATAATAAAAAACAAATAAAAATAAAAATATATATTTTAAAATGTTATATAATCTCATTCTATTTTTTATTATATATATACTCCTTTGGACCTTTTTTTTGTTCTCTCTGTGTAGTCCTATATGCTTTTTTCAATTGCCTTGGAGCATTTATTAGGATATTGAGGTCTTTTGTAAATAAATCCAAACCAGGGTGGCTCTGGCTTACTAGGATAAAGTATGATCCCTGAGATATGTAGGGCATCAATTTGTATATTATACTTAGGGAACAACACACATTTCTTTTTATGGAATACTCGTGCCAGGATGTTGTGGCTTTCTCATACCTAAATAAGAAACGTTCTAACAGAATTGTCCCCTCGAACTTCTTGCACCACATACATGTAAGATGCACATAAGACAAGGATAGGAAACCTTGTGGACTACATCTCCCATTATGCTCTTAAAGCCACACTGATGACAAAGTGTCAGGGAAGATGGAGTCCACAACATCTGGAGTGCCAATGGTTGCCTAACCATTGCCTAAGTGCATCTTTGTGTCTTAGCAGTATCCAGAAGTTAAAAATGCAGTTAAAACCAATATATTAATTTACATTCTCATGTATAATGAGAGCTTCTCACTTCTAACCAAATGTTTTCAATCAAGACTCTGTTGAATTTCTGGAATGCTATCTCATTTCAACTGCAACACCTCCAAATTTATTTATTTATAAAATATTTTTATTTATAAAACATTTTACCAGGAAAGATACTTTGAGATTTCTCTCGTTTTCAAGTATGTCCTGGGCTAACCTACCCTAGCAACCTGCATCATCATCATTCAATAATTTTTCCCTTTACCCATGTGTCAATATGAGTCCAGCTATATTCAACATTAGCAATCAAACAGGTATATACTGAAGTCCAACTATCCATTCGATACACAGGATATTATCTTAGAACACAAAATATTGTTTTAAATGAAAAAGATTGAACTCAGATTGGAAAGTTGACAACCAAAGCTTAATTTTTGCTAATCATGTTAGAAAGGGGCACCTATACAGTGAGGGAAAAAAGTATTTGATCCTCTGCTGATTTTGAACGTTTACCCACTGACAAAGAAATAATCAGTCTATAGTTTTAATGGTAGGTGTATTTTAACAGTGAGAGACAGAATAATAAAAAAAAAAAAAATCCAGAAAAACGCATGTCAAAAAAGTTAGAAATTGATTTGCATGTCAATAAATGAAAAAAAGTATTTGACCCCTTCAACTTAGTACTTGGTGGCAAAACCCTTGTTGGCAATCAGACATCAGACATTTCTTGTAGTTGGCCACCAGGTTTGCACACATCTCAGGAGGGATTTTGGCCTACTACCCTTTGCATATCCTCTCCAAGTCATTAAAGGACCACTATAGGCACCCAGACCACTTCAGCTTAATGAAGTGGTCTGGGTGCCTGGTCCAGCAAGGGTTAACCCTTTTTTTTATAAACATAGCAGTTTCAGAGAAACTGCTATGTTTACACCGAGGGTTAATCCAGCCTCTAGAGCCTCTAGTGGCTGTCTCATTGACAACCGCTAGAGGAACTTGCGTGCTTCTCACTGTGAAAATCACAGTGAGAAGACGCCAGCGTCCATAGGAAAGCATTGTAAATGCTTTCCTATGAACTGGATGAATGCGCGCGCGGCTCCTGCCGTGCATGCGCATTCAGCCGATGACGTCGCTAGGAAGGAGGAGAGGAGGAGGAAAGCTCCCCGCCCAGCGCTGGATAACGGTAAGATTTTAACCCCTTCCTCTCCCCAGAGCCCGGCGGGAGGGGGACACCCTCAGGGCACTATAGTGCCAGGAAAACGAGTATGTTTTCCTGGCACTATAGTGGTCCTTTAAGGTTTTGAGGCAACTCAAACCTTCAGCTCCCTCCACAGATTTTCTATGGGATTGGGCAAGGCCACTCCAGGACCTTAATGTGCTTCTTCTTGAGCCTCCTTTTTTTCCTTGGCTGTGTGTTTTGGGTCATTATCATACTGGAATACCCATCTACGACCCATTTTCAATGCCCTGGCTATGGGAAGGAGGTTCTCACCAAAGATTTGACTGTTCATGGCCCCATCCATCGTCCCTTTGATGCAGTGCAGTTGTTCTATCCCCTTAGCAGAAAAACACCCCCAAAGCATAATGTTTCCACCTCCATGTTTGATGGTGGAGATGGTGTTCTTGGGGTCATATACAGCACTCCTCCTCCTCCAAACACAGCGAGTTGAGTTGATGCCAAAGAGCTCGATTTTGGTCTCATCTGACCACAATACTTTCACCAGTTCTCCTCTGAATCATTCAGATGTTCATTGGCAAACCTTGGACAGACCTGTACATGTACTTTCTTGAGCTGGGGGACCTTGCGGGTACTGCAGGATTTCAGTCCTGTTATTATTAGAGACAGTTATTCTGTCTCTCACTGTTAAAATACACCTACCATTAAAATTATATACTGGTCATATCTTTGTCAGTGGGCAAACGTTCAAAATCAGCACGGGATCAAATACTTTTTTCCCTCACTGTAGTGGATAAATGGGATGCTCAGTCAAATTGGAATTGGTCTCGATTCCAAATCTACAGAATCACAGAAAAAATGGAAATTGGGGGCACACTAAGAACATACATTTCTATGCAGTGGTGCTGCTGTAAATACCAAAATCTATACAAAAAACAGTAAAAGGAACAGCGCACACAAAAACAAAAATACAGTTTTACATTTTACACGGCTGCTTACATTGGCGCCCCTTTGGAGGTGACCACAGGAAAGCATAAAGTGAGGAGTCTCTTAAAGTAATTTAAGAAGTATTACATACAAGTTAGCATGTAAATTTCTCATGTTTAGTCATTAGTATAGGACCCACTGATATTGAGGTACTGCGACGTAGTAGTGGAATTGACACAAATAGCGTTACTGAATCCCCATATTTGTTTGCTAAGATATGTCATTTTAAGTAACCTCGTAAAAATTTGAAATTTATTTTTATGTGTGCATTGTTCCTTAATTTGTATTATGTATACTTTTTGGTCACTAGGGCAGCAACATTCCTGCAAATAGCATGTTCAGGGTGTGCCTCCAATTCCTTTATGTCTTTACTATGTAAGACTATATTTTTATCTTAGTGTGTTCCTTTAGCTATATTTTTTTAGTTTCAATGCCTGTTTAAAACAGGTTATCTTTTAGGATTATAAACTATTTGTGTTCACCCTCTCCCCAGGAATTAAGACTTAGTCCCTTCACTAGAGTGTCCATTCTGATCACATACCTCTCAACATTTGAAATGGACAAAGAGGGACACTTTAATTTTATGGTTGTGAGGGGTGTGTGACCAGGGGCGGGCTGTTTTGAGAATAATTTTAGGTGTCTTACTAATAACAATTTTTTTTTTCAAATTCTTTATTTATTGGCAAATGATAAGATTACATATGCAATAAGTGGCTTAGTTGCCTGTTGTTTATAACAAATAAACAGTTAGAGTTCACATCGCGATATCACATGATTTATAATACACAATGTATTTACTTCTGTTGAAAAGCTTTGTGTGCGCTAACAGTGTAAAATAAGTACACTTGCTTCACTTGGCGTGATAAATTAAGGAAACGTGTTTGAGTAAGTGTGCTATTGTACGGAGGCATTTTCTCTGTGTCCTCATGGTCAGCTAAGTGGCTTGTACAAAGGAAACTTATTCTAAATAAAAGTAATAATACTGATAAAGTAAACAGAAACTGAACCCGCGGCCAGTGGTGTATTCTGGTTTTGTGCTGCCATAGGCATAACAAAACTCAGGCACCCCCCCTTCTAAATTTCACTTCCTGTTAAAAACCAACACTCTCTTTTCCTAACAGACACGCCTTCACTGATGCATACACTGACATAAACTCACTGACAGATACACAGTCATTGTCACACACACTATTTAACCAACACACACTTTCACTGAAACATACACACTCACTGACAGACACGCACACTCAGCTTCACTGACAGACACATTAACTGACACACATTCACTGACGACACATTTACTGAGAGACGCACACTTACTGACAGATGCACACTCACTCAGTGTCAAACACACATACACACTCACTGACAGACACATAAACACTCAGTGTCAGAGACACACATTTGCTAACAGACCTACACATTGACTGACAGATACACACTCTCAGTAACAGACACGCATACACACACTGACATACATACATATTCACTAACAGACATACACACTCTCACTGACACACACTCATTGACAGACACACACACACTCT